AATCAACATTTATTCAACAGTTCGTTTTAGTACTCTAACTTGATTGGCCAAGAGTCTATCAGCACAATGACCGTTTCACCGTTAGTATCGCTCCGCTTGTTTGTTTGTGTTCGCTACTTCCTGTATCTTCCGTTAGCGCTGTTGGAACTATTTCCAGTGGCAGAATAAAACAACAACAACCTGAACAACAGCACTCTTGCTCGACTAAAATTGAGTAAATATTAAGTTGAATGAACAAGCAGCTGAAATAAGTAAATCCCAACACCACATTTTGCCATATTGTCGTTATTTATATAGCTGGAGAAATGTTTGAAGACTTCTTCCATCCCACACAAACAACAAGAGACTGCAATTAACCAGCAGGTGATCATTCTCTTTCTCCTCAAGAGTCTATTACACACTTTCACAGCAGACTAAGAACTTATTAGTACAATGCAAAATGTATACCAGTGAATCCACCATTTTGTTTTTAAATCCTGCTACACTTGTTCAGGCTACAATGAATACTTAATCCACAAATACGTAATCTATTTTAAACGAATATAATTTTAATAGTGTTTTGACTGTTTATGACGTGACTTCAAAAGACTTGGAATATTGCACACTTATGATACTTTTATGACTCATTTAAGCTTCTTTTTATCATTTTTTTAAGTTCATGGTACAGTATAATTGTGTGGAGATTCTTAAAAAATGCATTTGTTATACAGTAAATTACTTTTTTATATTCATTTAAAGGTATTTGACAAAACATCCTACCATGTCATCTGACTGCCAAACAATCTTCATTTTGGGTGAGTAATATCTTGAAAAATCAATTACATTAAATATATCCATATGACATTTTGATATTTTCACCATGCATCATGCAGTTGTGACATGTTATGACGTAAATGGTAAATGACATAATTGTTGCCCTAAACAATCCATTCTTAAAATATGAATAGAAATCACACTTTTTTTTTCCACAGTCCACCATTTCCCTCATAAATACTCCTCTGCCATTGGCTCAGATAACAGCAATAGCCTGTTGCCTGGTAACGTCAGTAGAATAATGCTTGTGTTTGAGAGAGAAACGCATGCTTTTGTGTTTCTGTGTCCCTGTTTTCCTTTATTTTTCTAACAATAATGTTTATACTACACACCCATCTAAATTTCTAACAGCACACCCACTGATGATGGTCCTTTATATGAAACGAGGACATTATTTTGCAATCTGTTATCAGTGAAATTATTTAGCAGCTTGATATGAATCATAATGCAAAAGCTGACAGCAAGCATCACATCACATGCCAAAACTTTGAAATGCATCTTCACTGGCTATCACAGTTTTTCTCAATCACTTTGGCTCAATAATTGAATTCTCAAAACAATAAGTTCACATCTCCAAACTTGTTCACATCAGATTTGAATTTCTTATTGGTTTAAGCAAATTGCAACTTGCAAACTCTTCACGACTTCTAAACATTCTTTCATCGTGTGAGCGTTCACATGCAAAATTATCCGTTCAATTATCAAAATCTGTTGGAAATGCATGTATATTCCATGACATTGATTGTTTGTAATATCTGCCAAATTGGCAAATGGCCTGCCATTGCAAGGAAATAGAAATCACAATCTTACCAATCAACCAATAAAGTTACAGTTACAATAATGGAGTTTGCCCACCCCAAACAGATCAGCTGTTTATTTTTGTAGAAATATTACATGTAATCTGTATTTTCAATAACATTTTTGTCCATTTGCTTTTTGTGTACTAACTTCAGCATTGACTTGTCCTACTTTTCCTAATGCTGAAATCTGTTCATAAGAGGCAAACAAGTTTTCATCAAGGCAAAACTGATATTCTTGTACAGTGTAGAAAACAGAAAATGATATTTGTATATAATGAATATTTCAATTGTGAAAAAAAAATACATTTAAACATTTTAACCAGTGTGGCTCACTCAGTGACACAAATACTTTTTATTTTGCTGACACTGCCCAATTTTTAGACACATTAAAGGAGTAGTTCACTTAAAAAAAAAAAAAACTTTTGCTGTTTTTCTCCATATAATGGACTTCAATGGGGTCCAAAGTTTCAAGGTCCAAATGAGAGTTTCAGTGCAGCTTCAAAGGGCTTTAAACGACACCAGACGATGAATAAGGGTCTTATCTAGCGAAACGATGGCTCATTAAAAAAAAATTAGTTAAAAATTTAAGTTTTATAAGCACAAATGCTCGCCTTGCTCTGTTCTGTGATGCGCGTTCGTGACTCAAACTCGTTCATCAAAATGAACGAATCTTTTTTCGAGTCATTTCGTTCATTTCGTTTGTTGAATGAACCAATTGAATCGAAAAAAAGATTCGTTCATTTTGATGATATCCATTATATGGAGAAAATCCTGGAATGTTTTCATCAAAATCCTTAATTTCTTTTCGACAGAAGAAAGACAGACATGGACATCTTGGATGACATGGGGGTGAGTAAATTATCACCAAATGCTTTTTTTCAAAAGTGAACTACTCATTTAAAGCTGCTATTTGTAACTTTTCTTCTAAAATGAATAATTTTTTTATTGCCTGTGTGTGAGGGGGTTATAATCTCACATGATCCACTTGTAGGGTTTTGCTATTCAGTTCAATTCTATTACCACTAAAGGCCAGTATTCCTATTTCTATGTGAAGTCTCCGGGTCGGATTTTCTGCTAAATCCATCAGATGTGATGTGCATGCGCGCTCCCGAGCCTCTTCTTTATATACAGTCTATACAACGGCACTGCGGCTGACGACATGAGTCTGATAACACCAAAACACTCCTTCCTCCAACACAACACACTCTCCATATAAATATAAAAAACAAAAATATATCTGAAACACGTGAGCAAAAGTGCCAATCAAAGTGCCAATAAAAAAAAAAAGACGCTTTTACGCGTGGCGTTTTATGCGTCGGTGTGCACACTCACATTGGCACCCTTTGTTTAGTCACAAGGCGTTAAACATCGGCGAATGTCATGCGTGAAATTAGTCCCAGTGTGAACAGGCCTTTAGGCTGCTAAAAATGACATATAGCACCTTTAACTAGGTTTTGACGCATGAATTAAATGTTTTTTGTGAGTACAGTAATGACATTTTGCAGGTCATGCAGTAGAGTTCTGATGTTCCAGCAAACAGTTGTGACATTTGCACTTACAGTTTAGAGAATGTTAAGACTGTTTTGCTAAAATTGCTGAAGCGTTTGAGAAAAACTGTAATGAACACTCTCTCTCTCTCTCTCTCTCTCTCTCTCTCTCCCTCTCTCTCCCTCCCTCTCTCTCTCTCCTCAGTCAATAAGTCATAGAGTGGTGTAAAATAAGCTAGTCTTTCATTAAGAAATGTGACGGTCCTTAGATGTGAAATTGACTAGGACAACTGCAGCTTTAATGAGTTTTGGCTGAGAATGAATTCATAAAGAGTTCCCGATGGCAGTGCCAACAGCAGCTAATGAACACGTTAATTTGCACAGTCGAGTTCGTCATCAATGAAAATTATCCAGATGTAATTCGGTTAATGCCAGAAAGGCAGCTTTACTCAGATGCGGGAATCAATGCAAGGAAAACATGACACGCCTGGAAAAGATGTCGTGATGCCATTTTTAAGTTTGTCAAAAGTTGAACTTAATGGAGCTCAATGAGGCCGTCATACTAAGATCATTATACATGTCCTAGCAGATTATAAATTATCTGAATGCAATATCAATATTCATATAAATAGTGCAATCATTTTATCTAGCCTTTATCTGACTTTCTGTATAGATAGATAGATAGAACAGATAAAACAGATGGATGGATAGATGGATATATAGATAAATGGATAGATAGATAGATAGATAGAACAGAGTGATGGATAGATAGATAGATAGATAGATAGATAGAACAGAGTGATGGATGGATGGATAGATAGATGGATAGATAGATAGACAGAGTGATAGAACAGAGTGATGGATGGATGGATGGATAGATGGATGGATAGATAGATAGATAGATAGATAGATAGATAGATAGATAGATAGATAGAGTGATAAATAGATAGACAGAGTGATAGAACAGATTGATGGATGGATGGATGGATGGATGGATAGATAGATAGATAGACAGAGTGATAGAACAGATTGATGGATGGATGGATGGATGGATAGATAGATAGATAGACAGAGTGATAGAACAGAGTGATGGATGGATGGATGGATGGATAGATAGATAGATAGACAGAGTGATAGAACAGAGTGATGGATGGATGGATGGATGGATGGATGGATAGATAGATAGATAGATAGATAGATAGATAGATAGATAGATAGATAGATAGATAGATAGATAGATAGATAGATAGATACAGTAGATAGATAGATAGATAGATAGATAGATAGATAGATAGATAGATAGATAGATAGATAGATAGATAGATAGATAGATAGATAGATAGATAGAGTGATAGAACAGATTGATGGATGGATGGATGGATAGATAGATAGATAGATAGATAGATAGATAGATAGATAGATAGATACAGTAGATAGATAGATAGATAGATAGATAGATAGATAGATAGATAGATAGATAGATAGATAGATAGATAGATAGATAGAGTGATAGAACAGATTGATGGATGGATGGATGGATAGATAGATAGATAGATAGATAGATAGATAGATGGATAGAACAGAGTGATGGATGGATGGATGGATGGATGGATGGATGGATGGATAGATAGATAGATAGATAGATAGATAGATATTAATTTAAAAGAATATAAAATATGGAAATCAAATAATTTTGGGCAGAAGCAGTGAGGCACAAAATGTCTAAACTGGAATCACATGTGGGGATAAAAAATAAATATCGGTAGAGAGAGAGAGAGAGAAAGAGAGAGAGAGAGAGAGCTTCAGCAGTTTCAACAGTGAGTCAGTCTGCTTGTATTACTGTGATTATAGAGAGCTTCTGCAGTGGAGAGAGAGAGAGAGAGAGGTGTGCACGATTCACTGTCTTCTCTAGGATACAGCTCGTTTCCCTCCTCGTCTCAGTGCTTCTCTCTCTTCCCACTCAAGTGTATCAGATCCGGCTCTCCGGCACAACTCTCCGAGGATGAGTCCTCCAGAAAGCTCCAGCCACTGATGCCCGTTCCCCAGCTCATGGCTGCCCAGGACCACTCAACTCTCGTGGGCTTCCCTGGTGCGGACCTGCCCTCTCTAAAGTGGATCCTCAGCCGAACACAAGCTCAAGCGTGGCTCCTTTAGGGTGAGTATCAGTGACAGCGTTTGAGTTTGTTAACAACCACACACACACACACACACACAGAGAGAGAGATTAAGGATGTTTGTGTGATCTTGGCTTTATTTGTGTGTGAACAATGGCATTGAAAATCAGTTTGCAGTTGAGGATCATAGATAAGTGCGACTCCTTGTTGCATATTGTCATTTGTGACCTTACAAAAGCTGAGATTACGTCCAGGTGGCGTCTCAGATGGGTGCAGAGAGACTGTTGGTGCCAACACTGTCAGCGTGTGAACTCTGAGAGTGTGTCATGACACCCGTTCTGGAGAACGGCACCACTGCACTGATCATTAGAAATTACAGCGCAACACAACCACTCTCGCTTCGTTTCCTTCACTTATTTATACAGTAGTTCCAAAGCGCTGTACAAGAACAACAAGACAAAACATAAAAACATCCATGCTCTAATGTACTAACAAATATGATTTTAAGCGGTCCTTATAGGAAGATTATTCCACAATCTTGGACCAGCGACAGAGAAAGCATGATTAACCTTCATTTCGCCCTATTTTTATAAGGATTTGATCAAACTACTAACACTAGTGTGGAGTGTATACGAGCAGCGTTTGTTCTCCAGACATGAATGATTCCTCAAATCAAAGGTGTGCTGGTACTTTTAGATGCATTATATTCCCCTGCTGGAACTTAAAACAGGGGGAAAAAGACCCCTAGCATCCGCATAGCAATGCCACACTGGCTTCGTGACAGCAGGTTTTGCACCACTCACATTTTCGTCAGCAAAATCAAATATGTATTGATTCCTGGCGGTGTAGTTCAGGTAACTGGTCTGTGCGCTGTTCAGAGACGGTATGTGGGTGTGTTGGGAAATAGAAATGCATGAGCAAAAGAGTAGCGAGAAGGTGACAGAATTGACGTATTTCTATGGAAACAGCATATCCCTTCACTTTTGTCCTCTCTCTCTCTCTCTCTCTCTCTCTCTCTCTATGCACCCCTACTGAAGACTCATAAATGTTTTTCTGCTTTTAATCAAGCTCATCGGAAAATTCGATAATGTTATTTGATTGCATTTTTGGAGGGACATCCACACTCTTTGAAGAAAAGGTTCTAAATAGAACCTTAAAAGGTTCTATTAGCGCCACGTATTTGGAACCCCTAAAATGTTCTATACAGAAGGCTTCAATAATAAGAACCCTTTAGGTTCTTTGTAACCAGGAAAAAAGGTTCTATATGAAGAGTTCAGATGCAAAAGCCTCTAAATGCCATTTGAAATTTTCTTCTTTAATGATGATTTTTATCAAACTTGCATAACTTAAATATACAAGTTTGATAAAAATCATCATTAAAGAACAAAATTTCAAATGGCATTTAGAGGCTTTTGCATCTGAACTCTTCATATGGAACCTTTAGGGTTCATTCATTATCATTTGTTTTGTCCTTTCCGGATTCAATATTTCATTTTATTGACAAACATCAAGACCCTAAAATGTATTTATGAATGCATGTGAATGATTACAAAATTCAAGATATATATATATATATATATATATATATATTTATATCATTTTATGTAGTTAATCAATATCACTCGAAGAGTGCCATTTCAGTTTTTCTCCTGATTAAAATGTGATATTAAGTTACTTTAATAAACAATAATTTAATTACAAATACAAAATGTTGCAGATTAATGTAATATATGAATGAATAATAGCCTATAAAGAACCTTTGTGCCAAAAGGGTTCTTTCTTGTCATTATGCTAAAAAAGGTTCTTTGGAGTTGAGTAAAGAACCCTATGCTTTATATATAGAACCCCAAATGAACCCTTTTTTCTAAGAGTGCATTAACAAAAGAAGATGATTTTTTTGACACTTTCTGTTTAATTCGGAATGCCCAACAAAAAAGTTATCAATGAGATGAGCTCGGACACGCCCATAACGCATCACTTCCTGTGTTTACCTCATTCAGTCCTTTAATCCGGCTGTTGGAGATTTCAGGGGAAAAGTGTCTTTCTGTCACTCAAGCTGTTATTAAGGCACTTAAACTGTCTGAATCTCACACTGGATGGGCTCAGTTTCAGAACACATGCCGAAGCAAACAGACCAACATTTGGGACTTTAAACCTTGTTAAACAACCTACTAATATAGTATATTTAGTCAGTTTTTGCTCTCATAATCCTCAACCAGCTAACACTCCTAATAAACTTTAAATTGTCATAATCTGGATTTTCCTTTATTAGACAAAATCGACACAATATGTACTCAGACTCAGAGTATGCAAAGATCAGTATTGCATGATTCTGTAATTATCGATGCAGTATTTGAATAGCATTAATGATATGCAGTGATTTTAAGGACACTGTGATCCTCGTTGACGGTAATGCAGAGCTGTCTGAAAGTGTAAGTTTGACAGTGAGGCGATTTCATGCTACAGCCTGCGGTGTGTGTCGTGATGCTCACGCTCACTAATCCTCGAGAGCTTTTCATCCGCTCCCAAACACACACATGCAGAGAGAGATAACTGAATATTATTTTTGAGAAATAATAATGTGATTTCTGTGAGCACTCACGCACAAGTGTTGTTCAGGTAGAGGGATTGGTGTGGTCGTGACTGCAGCTCGGACGGCATCTAGTCGAGCACGAGAAACAGACTGTTATCTTTACAAACAGAAAGTGTCACTTTATTTGTGTGAATGAACTCAGTGATACCTGATGCATGTATGACGTGCATGTTTGTGCATCTATTTATCTGTCACAAGTGCGTCCGGTTAAAATTTAAGCGATCACTCAAAACTGTTTGTTTTATTTATTTTTATTTATTTTAATTGGTGCATAATTTATTACTGTATTTATTAAATTTGGTTCATTATTTATTTATTTTAATTTGTTCATTTTATTTATTTATTTTGTTAATTGTATTAAATGTATTATTTTATTTTAATTTGTTCAATTTATTTATTATTGTTTTGTTTATTTTATAGAATTTATTTACTTTAATGTGTTCATTATAGTGCTGTCAAATCGATTAATCGCAATTTATTTATTTATTTAGCGTCTTCTAATATTTATTTATTTGAATTTGTTCATTATAGTTCTGTCAAATCGATTAATCGCAATTAATTAATTAATGATTTTATTTTATAGAATTAATTTAATTGAATGTGTTCGTTATAGTGCTGTCAAATCGATTAATCACATTTATTTATTTAATTATTTTTTATTTTGTAATATTTATTTATTTGAATGTGTTCATTATAGTTCTGTCAAATCGATTAATCGCAATTATTATTTTTTTATTTTGTAATTTATTTATTTGAACGTGTTCATTATAGTTCTGTCAAATCGATTAATCGCAATTATTTATTTATATTTTGTAATATTTATTTATTTGAATGTGTTCATTATAGTGCTGTCAAATCGATTAATCATAATTATTTATATAATTATTTATTTTGTAATATTTATTTATTTGAATATGTTCATTATAAATCTGTCAAATCGATTAATGGCAATTAATTAATTAATTTATTTTATAGAATTAATTTAATTTTATGTTCATTATAGTTCATTACAGTGCAGTCAAATCGATTAATCACAATTATTTAATTATTTTTTTTATTTTATTTTATAATATTTATTTATTTGAATGTGTTCATTATAGTTCTGTCAAATCAATTAATTGCAATTATTGGTTTTAATTTATAAAATTAAATTTAATGTGTTATATAAACACAGCCTTTTAGATGCCATTAATCATGATTAATCGATTTGACAGCAGCACTATATTTTTGAGTTTGTTTTATTTTATCTTATTGAATTTATTTATTTTCATTTGGTATTTTTTTTTATTTAATTAGTTCTTGCCATATCAAAAAATGGCAGTCAAGACCTGTTGTACAGATATTGAATATGATGACTGACCTCATCTGTCAATCAGACGAGCTCTTGTTCACGTTGTTTTCCAATGATGTTACAAGATCAGTGAGTTAATAATATTCATTCTTGCCTTCGGCATGTCATTGTGTCAGAACTTTGAAAAATATTCTGCTTTGAGAACGGTTCCTTCGGTCAGAGTTTCTTGTTTAGTTTCCTGTTTCATTCCAGCTGAATTTCTCTTATTCTCCCTCCCCAAGAGATCAGTGTTAGCCGAGAGATCAGAATAATTAAAATATGTCTCCTCTTGAAACACTGTTGATTTTCTACATACTAAATTATGCATCCAGCTGGCTAATCATATTTTTGCATGACCATTTGCATGCTCTGGTTATGTAATGTTTAATGGTGGATGCCGATTGTTAATTTTTAAGAGAAAATCACGAAATACATGATCACCTCTCATCATATATGTGATAATCTCTGATCACAGATTAGTTTTCAAATGAAAATTTCAGGATTCAGGATTCATATTCATATTTGAAATCATCAAAGTTCTTTTTGAATGTAGTTTAATTCATAGTTAATAGTGTGCATCTCGTTGTTAATGTGGTTCCTCTGCTAGACACCTAGAACACACACTTAAACACCAGCTGATTCACAGAAAAGTGAAGAGAAAAGCCTCTGAGACACTTGATCTAATGCAGTGACATTTTTAGACTTTAGTAAAAACCGATGGTGCAATAGTTTAATCTCATAAATAACACCTGAAACACTCATTGGATGTGCAGTGTGTGTATTTATAACACCTGTAGTCACGGGTTTGAGTCTGTAGCGCACGTTTGAAACCGAGTCACGGGACTTTCAGCAGGTTTTACATGTTTGGTGTGTGTGTGGTGATGATCCTTCAGGCTGCACGTTTCTGCGAATGTGAACATGAGTTCATACTGCTGCTTTGGGTTTGGAAAACCATTCCATAAGCATCTTTTGGGTTTTCTGTGTGTGTTTTGTAATCTATAAGCCTCCTAACGCTGAATTGTAAAGCTTCATGCTGCTGAAAGGAAAGCGAGAGAGAGAGTGAGAGAGGGAGAAGGAATGATATGGAGGAGTAGAGATGCTTGTGCTTTTATTAGGAGCTCTTTTCTTCTGTCGTTCATTTTTTCTCTCCATCTCCAAGGATGCCAAGTCGAGAGTGGCAGTTAGAAACAGTCTGTGCATATCTAATATGATTGGGCTTGTTAAAAATAGACCGCACTATACACTCTGTGCTGAGCTCATGTGCACGTACAGCACACAGGATTCGGAAAGCAAAATGGCAGTAAGGATTTCGGTATTTGTTCTCGTTCTAGAAACCAGAGAGCGTTTGATTTGATGAAAAGGTCAAGATGATCAGTGCAAGACGATTATTATTATTTTTAGTTTTATGCCAGAGAAATGCTGTTCATGAACTCTTCCCTGTGCCGCTTGTTCTACATGTCCTGCTGTTCAAAAGTTTGTGGTCAATATATATTTTTGAGAGAATCTCTTCTGCTCACCGAGGCTGCATTTTCTTTCCACAAATACTGTAAATACACAATTCTTTCCACAAATACACAAACTTTTAAACGGTAATGTACACTCACCTAAAGGATCATTAGGAACATCACACTAATACTGTGTTTGACCCGCTTTCGCCTTAATTCTACGTGGCATTGATTCAACAAGCATTCTTTAGAAATGTCGGCCCATATTGATAGGATCGCATCTTGCAGTTGATGGAGATTTGTGGGATGCACATCTCCTGTTCCACCACATCCCAAAGATGCTCTATTGGGTTGAGATCTGGTGACTGTGGGCCATTTTAGTACAGTCAACTCATTGACATGTTCAGGAAACCAATTTGAAATGATTGGAGCTTTGTGACATGGTGCATTATCCTGCTGGAAGTAGCCATCAGAGGATGGGGACATGGTGGCCATAAAGTGGTGGACATGGTCAGAAACAATGCTCAGGTAGGCCGTGGCATTTAAACCATGCCCAATTGGCACTAAAGGGCCTAAAGTGTGCCAAGAAAACCATTACACCACCACCACCAGCCTGCACAGTGGTAACAAGGCATGATGGATCCATGTTCTCATTCTGTTTACGCCAAATTCTGACTCTACTCAACAGAAATCGAGACTCATCAGACCAGGCAACATTTTCCAGTCTTTTTGGTGAGCTCTTGCAAATTGTCGCCTCTTTTTCCTATTTGTAGTGGAGATGAGTGGTACCCGGTGGGGTCTTCTGCTGTTGTAGCCCATCCGCCTCAAGGTTGTGTGTGTTGTGGCTTCACAAATGCTTTGCTGCATACCTCGGTTGTAACGAGTGGTTATTTCAGTCAAAGTTGCTCTTCTATTGGCCCATTCTCCTCTGACCTCTCGCATTAACAAGGCATTTCCGCCCACAGGACTGCCGCACACTGGATGTTTTTCCCTTTTCACTCCATTCTTTATAAACCCTAGAAATGGTTGTGTGTGAAAATCCCAGTAACTGAGCAGATTGTGAAATACTCAGACACCAACAACCATGCCACGCTCAAAATTGCTGAAATCACCTTTTCCTGACATTCAGTTTGGAGTTCAGGAGATTGTCTTGACCAGGACCAGAACTGCCATGTGATTGGTTGATTTAGATTATTGCATTAAAGAGAAATTGAACAGGTGTTCCTAATGATCCTTTTGGTGAGTGTATATTAATGATTCCTAAAATTGTGCAGCTTGATGATCTAGTTTGATGATAAAATTAGTGGAAATGAAATGTGTCCTGGCATAATATTTCCCTCTTACTCTGATTTGCCTTTAGTTCTCTGTTTTTGGAATCAAATCATGTGCAATATTATAATTGCAGTGTTTAATTATTTATTGTTTGTACAGCTTCTGAGGTTTGTGCAGAAGAGTTTAATCAATTTCAAAATCTCCTGGCTTTATTAGAGCTTAAACAAGCTTTTTTTTTTAGTTTAGTTTACTATACGAGCAGAAGTTTCAGTTATTTGTTTTGGTATGATTAAAGTGCAAATATGGTTTCTTGTTGCTTTTCTCACCTTCTCCCTTTTTTATTTCTTCTAGTTTATTCAGACCTCGTCTTTCAGCTTTACCATCTCACCGAGAACAAGACCTTTAGAGCCGAAGCTTTCAGACTGCTAGAGGAAGCGAGGACAATCATATATAAAGGTACGTCTGCAGCACTACACAGTGAAGTCTTATTTTATTTTATGGATAATTCAATCCCTCAGGCGTGTGCATATTGTCCTTGTTGTTTTGGAAGATGGAACAGGAGATTTCAAAAGTGCAGCGCAAGATGTCGGACCTGGAGTCAGTTTTGCAGCAGAAAGACGTGGAGCTTCAGGCTTCAGAAACCCAGAGGACCATTTTAGAACAAGACCTGGCCACCTACATCACAGAGTGCAGTGTGGGTATTTTGTCCAGATGTGGAAATGTGCCGTGTTCTGAATTGCACTAATTCATTTGTGTTTGTGTGTGCATTTCAGAGTTTGAAGCGCAGTTTGGAGCAGGCCCGCATGGAGGTGTCGCAGGAGGATGATAAAGCTCTGCAGCTGCTGCACGATATACGGGAACAGAGCAACAAACTGCAGGAAATCAAAGAACAGGTTCGGATTTGACGCACATTTTCATTTCAGCGTATTGGCTGTGTTTGGAATCGACATCTATCCACCTTATTTCTACGTCCCATGAGGCTTTGCGTGAATTATGGGTGTATCTTCGGTTAAAGGAGTAGTTCACTTTAAAAAAAACCTTTGCTGATAATTTACTCACCCCCATGTCATCCAAGATGTCCACGTCTTTCTTTCTTCAGTCGAAAAGAAATTAAGGTTTTTGATGAAAACATTCCAGGATTTTCTCCATATAATGGACTTCAATGGGGTCCAAACGGTTCAAGGTCTAAAAGACAGTTTCAGTGCTGCTTTAAACGACACCAGACGATGAATAATGGTCTTATCTAGCGAAACGATCGCTAATTTAATAAATAAATAAAAAAGTTTAAGTTTTATTAAACGCTCGCCTTGCTATGTTCTGTGATGCACGTTCGTGACTCTCCTGTTCGAATTCGTTCATCAAAATGAACAAATCTTTTTTTGATTCATTTCGTTCGTTGAATCAACCAAATGACTTTTTGAGTCGAATTGAATCAGAATTGCATCAAATTCAAACATGTAAATCGAAATTGAAATGAAATGTGAAATGCGTGTCAACCTACTTCTAAAGCATGTATTAATCTTAAAGTTAGTTTCAACATTTGCTATTAAAAATTTAAAAGGTGTATTTATTAATATTAATTAATGGTCCTAATTAAAGGGACTGCAGATGAAAAATGGGAAAACATGAAAAACTCTGGCATTTTGACAGAAATGCTTATTAATATGCACCGTCCCTGCAGTAAATATTTTTTAAGCTAACATTTACAATTTTAGTTAATGCATTATCTAATGTTAAATGCTGGGAACTCATTGTAAAGTATTATCGACTTGTTTTTGGAGAGTTTTAGACTTGCAATCGCTGTAAATGTCAGAAGCATAACACAAACACACATTACAAACAAAACAGTTTTATAGAGTGTGGAGGTGTTCGATTTTAGATCTGGATTCGATGTGTGTGTCTGAATGTTAAGTCTTAAGTCTCAGTGACATAACCAGAGAGGTTTATTGAAAGTTTTTGTGTGTGCATCGTGGTTCATTTCTAAATGTCTATATTGGAGAATTTTGTGTCTTTGTTTAACACAGGGGGGAATCATTCTCAGATTTCTCAGATTATTTTATTATTATAGAGCTTCTGCTTGTTTGAGCCCTGCTGATGCTACAAATGAACTCTGTCCGTCTCGGGTTCTGAAACACTATCTGAAATGGCGATTGGCACTTATAGCCATGAGTAAAGTGATGTAGGACTGAAGAATGAGATGTGACGGTAAGAACATGATAGAAAAACAGCCTGCTCTCTGCCGCTTCTCGCACGTCTCCCCCAGAGCCAGACTCCATCGCACTGCGGTTGCCATGGAGACAAAAATGGTACCTAGCAGTGAAGGATGTTGCAGATGCAGTGGAAATCGTGACATGCTGGCAAAGGTCTCGAATTAGCAGCAATCAGACTTTAAATGAAGTGTTCACTTCTCGTTTTATCCTATAGATTTGATCAAACTGTTAGTTCGGCTCTGCAGGACTTTGCTACTAGTTTGATGCTTTCAAACTCTGCCGCATAGTCTAAATGTCCTGTTTTCAGTATGCATTATTAATGTGTAACTCAGTCTGTTTATGGACTTAAATTGTTGTAACATATGTGAACTTGCAATGTAAAAACATTTAAATAGCTAAATAGCATACGTTTTAGACATAATATTTACAGTTACTCTGGCAACAAAATATTTCCAAATAAAGTCAAAGCAGGAACAACTGCCTTTTCTCTGAGCATTGTGTTTCTTTTATCTGCATGTTTGAACGAATCAGTTGAGTGATTGATTCGAATACTCCCTCTTAAAAAGTGACTGGTCATTCCTAAATTAATCAGTAGGTTTGAACGAATCAGTTGCGTGAATAATTTATTCAATGAATCTCTCTTAAAAACTGTCACTTGTGTTCTTCTTTAATAAATCTTTGTTTAAATGAATCAGTTGAGTGAATGATTTGAATACTCCCTCTTAAAAAATCACTTGTCATTCCTTAATGAGTCGGTACTTTTCAACAAATCAGTTGAGTGAATGATTCGAATGACTCTCTCTTGAAGACAGTCATTTGTGTCGTTCTTTAATAAATCTGTATGTTTATATGAATCAGTTGAGTGAATGATTCGAATACTCCCTCTTAAAAAGTCACTTGTCATTCCTTAATGAGTCGGTACTTTTGAACAAATCAGTTGAGTGAATGATTCGAATACTCCCTCTTAAAAAATCACTTGTCATTCCTTAATGAGTCGGTACTTTTCAACGAATCAGTTGAGTGAATGATTCAAATGACTCTCTCTTGAAGACAGTCATTTGTGTCGGTCTTTAATAAATCTGTATGTTTATATGAATCAGTTGAGTGAATGATTCGAATACTCCCTCTTAAAAAGTCACTTGTCATTCCTTAATGAGTCGGTACTTTTCAACGAATCAGTTGAGTGAATGATTCAAATGACTCTCTCTTGAAGACAGTCATTTGTGTCGTTCTTTAATAAATCTGTATGTTTATATGAATCAGTTGAGTGAATGATTCGAATACTCCCTCTTAAAAAGTGACTGGTCATTCCTAAATTAATCAGTAGGTTTGAACGAATCAGTTGCGTGAATGATTTATTAAATGAATCTCTCTTAAAAACTGTCACTTGTGTTCTTCTTTAATAAATCTTTGTTTAAATGAATCAGTTGAGTGAATGATTCGAATACTCCCTCTTAAAAAATCACTTGTCATTCCTTAATGAGTCGGTACTTTTGAACAAATCAGTTGAGTGAATGATTCGAATACTCCCTCTTAAAAAATCACTTGTCATTCCTTAATGAGTCGGTACTTTTCAACGAATCAGTTGAGTGAATGATTTAAATGACTCTCTCTTGAAGACAGTCATTTGTGTCGTTCTTTAATAAATCTGTATGTTTATATGAATCAGTTGAGTGAATGATTCGAATACTCCCTCTTAAAAAGTCACTTGTCATTCCTTAATGAGTCGGTACTTTTCAACGAATCAGTTGAGTGAATGATTCAAATGACTCTCTCTTGAAGACAGTCACTTGTGTCGTTCTTTAATAAATCTGTATGTTTATATGAATCAGTTGAGTGAATGATTCGAATACTCCCTCTTAAAAAGTCACTTGTCATTCCTTAATGAGTCGGTACTTTTCAACGAATCAGTTGAGTGAATGATTCAAATGACTCTCTCTTGAAGACAGTCATTTGTGTCGTTCTTTAATAAATCTGTATGTTTATATGAATCAGTTGAGTGAATGATTCGAATACTCCCTCTTAAAAAGTCACTTGTCATTCCTTAATGAATCGGTACTTTTGAACAAATCAGTTGAGTGAATGATTCGAATACTCCCTCTTAAAAAGTCACTTGTCATTCCTTATTGATTTGGTACGTTTGAACGAATCAGTTGAGTGAATGATTTATTTAATGAATCTCTCTTAAAAATAGTTACTTGTGTCGTTCTTTAATAAATCTGTATGTTTGAATGAATCAGCTGAGTGAATCATTCGAATACTCCCTCTTAAAAAGTTACTTGTCATTCCTTAATGAATCGTCACGTTTGAACGAATCAGTTGAGTGAATGATTCTCTCTTGACTCTCTCTTAAAGACCGTCACTGGCAGAATGTAACTTGTAAGAATGATTCACTTAAAAATCCCCACCACTAATTCAGACTGTATTTACAGCCCATCTTATACTGATGGCATGTATAGTTTTGCCTGATTTGATTTGAACATTGGCAATTCTTGGAATAGTAGTGGTTCCTGGTAGTAGTTATTTTTTAGCTTTTAAACAAAGTTTGTAATTTTGTGATTCATCTTAGAACAGGTTTTGGTTAAGTTTTTTTTATTTATTGAAGAGTGTTTTTAAACACCTATGGGGGCGAAATGACTCGCTTTTAGGCTCTCTCGTGCTTAAAAAATACATAGAATAAAAAATAAAGTGGCACAGAAAGGGTTTTTTTCAGTTTCATGAATATACTAAGTTCCTTTGGTTTGTTAAGCTCAGAGGGAACCGGCCCATTAAGCTGTCATTTCAGAGAGCTGCTTTTAAAGGGTGATTTCCAGTTCAGATGGAAGTTTTAATGGCTGACAGATTTATTTCTGCTTTTAGTTTTTTGGCATTTAGTGGACTTACTCATTGCTTTGAATAATGTAAATACAGTCTAAAAAAAGTTATAATGTTTATTTACAGCATTCCTTTTCTTGGAGTCATGAATTAAAGCGATTATTCAAGTTGAACTCATTTCAATTCTAGTTCATCTTAAACTAAACTCTTATTCTATTGTATTTTTCTTCAAGGTATAAACCTCGTCTCGGATTTTTCTCTTGAAAATAAATCGATGTTAATGAGCCAAATTTTAAGACATTGTCAAGATGTCTGTTGTTAAACTCTTGAAGAGACGCATGTGAGAGTATGTGGTGATTTTCAACGCCCGATTAATGATATCTAAAGTGCTGTAATTCTGAATTGCTGAAAATATAAACATTTCCAAAGAAAAATTATAAAAGCGTGAGATTTAATCAAAAGCTTTCCATTTAATCTGATTTGACAATTGAGTTATTCAGGAGATCTCATTTGTAATTTTTCTTTGTGATGGATGGATCTTTTTTAGTGCTTGCAACTAATGCATATGTTTTGATTCCAGCACAAAATGGTATAGTCACAATTTGTGCAATTAGCTCACTATTGATAATTAAGCAGTCACATTAGCATAGAGGACTGACAGAAGGAGATTGTGTTGACTCACTCTGAGCTGATTTTTTTTTAATATTATGAATTTCATTTGGGAGGCAATTTCACAAAATGTCAAGCACCTCTTTTCTGTCGTTTCTGGTGAATAATTATAATCTTCATTATGATAATATAAAGCAAAAATCCCAAACATGCTCTTCTATATCTGTTTTTGTGCACTCGGCTGCTTTTCCTCTCCACAT